AAAAGAAATATCTTTACCAACATGGCGTAGGAGTGCCTTGCCAATACTGTGGTCAGAAAGATAGGCAGTAGAGGAAGTCGGTCGTAAAGTGAAGAATTTAGTCCATTGTGCAGTCTGAAACTGAGCGTGGAAAGGTAGTGAAGGACGTGTCGATCTTTTCTGAGACGAACAAGAAGGTGGAGAAGTATCATCAGCAGGTAATTGTCGTTGGCGTTTAGGCGTGGGACCAGAGTTGGTCTGACGTGAAACGGGTCGGCGATTCGAAAATTGCCACACTGTAGAGGGAGAGGCTGGAAGCATAGTCAGAGGAGAGCGAAGGTCAGATAAATCGAAGGAGTCAGTCGAGGCCTCAGTACCTGAAGCGGGTGAGGAAACAGCACCGGCAAGAGGTACAGAGGCATGAGGAGTGTCCGAAGAGTGGTCCAAAGACGAGGCAGGGTCAGAACGGGGTGCGGTATCAAGAAGGGGCCCGGGGGTAGCAGGTTCATGGACTAGGGCTGCCATGGTTAGGTTACTTCTTTCTTTTTGTTTTTAAGAAAAAAAAAGAAGAAAAGAAAATAAAAATAAAAAAAGAATAAAAAAAGGGGGACCAGGGAGGGATAGTTCCTAGGAGGAATGAAAGGGCCAGAAATCTCCCTCCGCGCCCAAGAGGACCTCAGCACCGCAAGTAGCGCAGATGCAGCATGGAACCCGTGCCATACCCTACCCATCATGCCAGTAAACCGGCAATCCGGGATAGCAACCTCACATCTGCCGAGCTACCTCGGTGGACAAAAGAGAGGGTGGCCGGAAATCCGCCACAAAGCATACCTCCTTCGGCCACCACCCCCGGAATCTGAAAGGTGGCTTCCAGAGATACACCCGTCGCCCGAGAGACACCCAAAGCCACCCTCCGGGATACCAGAGAGGGATCGGGACATCCCAGGCAATCCAGATTCCACGGCAAACTACGCCACCGCCAAGAACCTCAACGAGATAGGATGGACCCCGGTTCCCTTTCCCCTACCTAGGAACTAGCGTGCCTGTGGGAAAAAAAAAAAAAAAAAAAAAAAAAAAAGGCCAAAAAGGAAGGGCAAAAGGGAGGGGTGGGGAGGAGGAGGAGGAAAGGAAAACGGGGAGGATGGGATAGGGAATGGGGGATTGAGGGGTAATTAGGTTCCATCTGAGGAAGGAGACCGACAGGTCTAATTCCTCAGACCAAGAGCCACTTCACCACGCCAAGGAGCATCCCTTGAAGAGGCAGGGAGTGTAGCAGGCATGTAGGAGGCGAGAGGAAGGCGAGTCTATTATGCTTCAATATGAAGCTATCATCATCTCTACGGCTTATTTATCTATTCCAATTCATCTAATATGACATAATAAACAATATTAATAACACAGAAACATGATATATACTCTAGAATGAATAAAATATGTCATAATGTATGTGAGGATAAGTGATGAAAGTGTTGTTGATGTGATGGTAACTGGTGATAGAGGCTTCTGCCACCACCACTATATGAACGCAATTTATAAACAAGAAAGATTTACATTTTAATTTATAAATAAGAAATATTTACATTTTAATTTATAAATAAATAAGTTTATTCAGGCATACACAAATACAATTACGTACACATATATTCATACATAGCAGCATATGTGTAAAGTACCTGGGATAACCCTAAAAATAGTCAGAGTGATTTACGTATTTCCATTGGGGTCCTTTTATATTAACACTTTTATATTTTCACTTACCTTGGAGGAGATGTTAGTTTAATTAATTTGAAGGAGGAGATGCTGGCAGAGGTTTAGAGTGGTGGAAGATACATAGCAAGCCGTTGTATGTTCAACGGCCAGATACACATACAACATTGGAGAGTTACTTTCGTGTCGAATACTTGCTACACTGTTAATTCTGTAATAAAGTTCGTAGAATTACCGACAATATGTAAAGTAAAAGGACACAAATGCAACTAATGTGACTTTTTTATTGTGGCAACGTTTCGCTTTCCAGGAGCTTTATCAAGCCATTACAAACAATACATGGACACAGAGGGTATATAAAGGCTCAGAGTGAGGGGCAATACTAGTGAGGTACCATTTCGATGTTCACTAGTGGTGGCAGAAGTAGTAGTAGTAGTAGTAGTGACAAAAGTAATACTTTTGTACTACTACTACTATACTACTACTACTACTACCACTAGTGAACATCGAAATGGTACCTCACTAGTATTGCCCCTCACTCTGAGCCTTTATATACCCTCTGTGTCCATGTATTGTTTGTAATGGCTTGATAAAGCTCCTGGAAAGCGAAACGTTGCCACAATAAAAAAGTCACATTAGTTGCATTTGTGTCCTTTTACTTTACTGTTAATTCTACACTTTATAGCTGGCTGGCACTATAGCCTTTATTGATACCTACTGCTTTAGTATTGTACATATCATAGAATCACTGAATCACTGCAGAAGGCACATTCACCCCTCTCTCTTCTTCCTCCACTTTGGTACTTTGCTACGAGTTTTTTCTTGAATTTTATTGTGTTTCTTTCCTTCTTTATCACAAGGTTGGCACTAGAAACTTTCTTTCGGCCCATGGTGGCTTATTTAGCAGTTACAAGCACTAAACAATGGAATAATACAAAATATATCGCATGTACGCGTGGAATCGTCCTCCCTGGCTTGTAAACAATGGCACATTACCTTGTACATGGGCTCAGGCCGCGTGGACACATTCGGGACGAATGTCCTTAACTGAGTTTTTCATCGCTGGCCGAGCCAATATTTCTACGCAAAAACACATCGATATCCGATTTTATCACTATCCGATAGCATCGTTACCCAAGGGTCCACTGTACATGTTTACCAACAACTCGGACTTACGACAGGTTCTCTCACCAGTATGCATACGTAAATAATGTTTAGAATTTGCAGAACAGGCAAAATATTCACAAACACTAATCTCACGTTGAAGGAGATTTGAACCTATGAACCTTGGAACAAGATACGCAGTGCTCTACTCACCTTACCACACTGGTCCAATACCTTGGCACCCAGCCAACACTAGACGTTTTGGCCAAGGTATTCAACCAGTGTGGTACGGTGAGTAGAGCATTACGTACCTTGTTCCATGGTTCGTAGGTTCGAGTCTCCTTCGACCTGAGATTAGTGTTTGTGAATATTTCGCCTGTTCTGCGAATTATAAACATTTTAAAAGTCTCTCATCGGTTGATGCATGCAGGGGATGAGATGAAATAGCTAACACTACCTGCTTGAATGCTGGCTGTCTTTGACCAAAACGTCTAGCATTGGCTGGGCACCAAGCTGTGATTAGTGTTTGTGAATACCTAAATAATGTACAGCCTTACGAACGCATTGCGTTATGTTAAATACGCCATACGAAGCATTTGAACGCAAAATTTTTGCCTCGCCTCACGATAAAAAACTCGCCTTACGTGATTTGTCTGGGATGTGTCCCACGTGTGGCTTCAGCGCCAGTGTTTACAAGCCAGCCAGTGCGGTTGCATTTACGCATACATTCGGTACATTTCACATTATCCCAGTGTTTTCCGTGCTTATAACTGCAAAATAAGTCACCATGGACCCCAAGAAAGCTTCTAGTGCCATCCATGTGGTAAAAAGGGCGAGAATTAGTATGGAATTGAAAAAAAGAGATTAAGAAAATGTGTGCAAAGTGGGTTGAGCTGCAAACCTTTACGGATGAAAATCACCCTGACACAGCTACTGCAAACCGTGTTGGCAACCTGTACAATGACAATGTTATGGTCCATTTTAGGAAAGTCTTAAAGGAATGGGAGGTACAGAGCTCTATGGACAGATATGTTGTGCGACAGATGTCCAGTGACTCTCAAGCTGGTCCTAGAGGCATTAAAAGAAGGGAAGTAACCCCGGAAAAGGACCTGCTACCTAAGTCCTAATGGAAGGGGATTCCCCTTCTAAACAATAACTCCCACACTCTCCCCTCCTCCCATCCCATCAATCATCACCAGATCTTCAATAAAGCTAAGTGTCATGTATTCTATTCTTAGTAGAGTAGTAATTGTGCATGTCTTCTTCAGTTTGAGTGTATTAAAATTAATATTTCATGTGGTAATTTTTTTTTTTTTTTATACTCTGGGGTGTCAGGAACAGATTAATTTGATTTCCATTATTTCTTAAGGGGAAAATTAATTCGACCAATGATAATTTCGGCTTATGATGAGCTCTCAGGAACGGATTAATATCGTAAGGCAGGGGTCCACTATATATTAGAGCTGGTTTTCTCTATTCTTTATATTGAAATATACAGTACACTACTGTATAAACATATATAAATACAGTAAAAATGTTACAAATAGTGCAAAGATGACATTAAAACACTACCAAAGATGGCTGACACAAACCATCAAAGTATGCTAATTGCTTAGCGACAAATTCGTTTACCGACATGGTCTTAGGAACGGAACTCCATCGTTAAGTGAGGAGAGGCTGTACAGTGTACTGTGTTTCCACACTGGTCACAATACCTCCCTCAGTATGAGAACACACTACTGTGACCAACATGGGAACATGCAGTGCTCTAACATGGGGAGGGTAAACAGTGACCTGTGTGCAAAGATGTAAGGTGTACACTACACTGCAGCAATGAGGACAGCCAAAGAGTTACCTGGTGACCAATGTGTGGTGATGTGAAATGCACACTAGGATGTACATCATCTTTGGAGAATTTTGCACTGTTTAGTGAACAGCATCTTCACTCCTGTGCAGTGAAATTTCTCTGTATATTCTCCAGGTATGCAATTTGTACAGCAATATTCCAGCCTAGAGAGAACAATAGATTTGAAGGGAATTATCATAGGCTTGTGAGTCACTATGCTATCGTTGTGTTAGCGGTGTTACATTAAGCTTACTGACACACACATGCACAAAAAATGAGCATGCACTCGTTTTTCAGGGGTTGAGCTATGACTCGACCCCTGCAACAATTAGGTGAGTACGCGTAACACACACACAACACACACACACACACACACACACACACACACACACACACACACACACACACACACACACACACACACACACACACACACACACAAACAAACCCACCCACCACTGTGCCTATCAAGACACCTATTCCAACTCTGCATATCAATATTTAAAACCTGTCAGAGAAACAATAATACCTCCTGATTCAGTCAAGAGACACACTACACAACTTTACTTAATAAAGAATAATCTCAAGATATATATATATATATATACCTATATAATTATCAAATACACAGCAGTATATACACTATAAAAACTATGGTTGTCTCTGCTTGAAGAATACTTGAAAGCTGGGCACTAAGTCAACAAGGAGTAACTCAAAGAAACTTAGACATTACAAACCTTTATTAAAAATTACTTCTTGTTCAGTGACAGCTTTACTGAGTTACTTGGAAAATTTTAAATTAATAAAGGCTTGCTGTCTTTAAGTGTTTTTGATTTACAAGAAAAATACGCATTTCTCAATATTCTGACTATATTATGGAATAGTCCCACTTTGTTCAACAGTCTACTCATTCCTTGTATTTAACGTGCAGTATTTTATTTTTTATTAACACATCAGCCGTCTCCACTTCATCATCGTTCACTCATGACCTCGGTAATAAAGCAACTTCCATTTCCTTTGATTTAGTTGCATTATTTTTCAGATGAAATTTATTTTTAGAAATTAGAATACAAAATTGTTACTGTGAATAGTTGCTGATTCAAGAATTTGAGTTCTTGAACTGAATGTCATCTAATGTAAAAAATTGTACTATATATTTACTAGAGTATAACCCAAATATTTTTTCTTATAAACATGTACAATGATATACGTACAATGGTACCTTGAATATTGGCCAAAATTTGTTCCAGAAGGCTGTTCAAGTGCTGTTACCGAACAAATTTGTTCTTATGAGGAATAATGTAAATTAGATTAGTCCATGTGAGGCCCCCAAAAATACATTTACAAAAGCACTTACAAAAATACACTCACATAACTGTTCGAGTTGGGAGCTATTCGACATTCAAGGTACCACTGTATTAAATCTACTTAAATATACATTTATTATACATATACTGAAATGGTGTGCATAACCATGGACTTCCTGTATGCAATAAAGTGTCACCCATTTCTGTCTAAACAATATATCATGTGGAAATAAACTCTGAATTGGAATATGTGGTCTATCAGCTTATGATAGACCACATAATTCAAAATTCTTGTATTCTTCAACCTCTGAATACAAGCAATCACTTGCTAGGTAATAAAGCATTTTTGTTTCAAGAAATAATCTACCACTTATTCCCTCATCCAAGTTCATATTTTCCTGCTATACACATTAAGAATTGTGGATTGTTCCATAGTATGTTTCTAAAGTATAAAATGAGGAATTATGAAGGTTGTATTGTATTGACATACTGCATATATGCTGAATAATGATTCACTGTATTCATATTAATAAAGCCAGCATAGATCAGTGATATACAGACTAGTTCTCCAGAATTAAAGCAGCTTGCAACTAACTCACAATCTGGAAATAAAAATTGGATGACATTTCAATCCATTCTGGACAATTATCAAGGTCATAATGAAAGTAGGTACTGGGTTACTAACAAATAATTTTCTTAAACTATTTTAATAGTTTTAGATATGTATCTAAACAACCAGAAAAATGAAAACACTAGGTATATTTCTGATGCACATTCATTTGCCTAGGAATGCAGCCATAGGATCGTCCTCCCTCGGTCTTCTCATTTGATAAGCCTCTATCTCTTCTTCTGTTGGTGCCTTTGCATCATACATAGAATTATAGCTTCGTTCACGTTCATTTAACTTCATCATTTCTTGAACTGCATCTTCTTCTATCTTTGCACGAATCAAAGCTTCACGCAATTTCTTCTTGCGTTTCTTTTCCTTATCTTCTTCATTTTCTGATTCGCTGCTAGAATCACTACCGCTGCTGCTGCTGCTAGTGTCCTTCTTCTTTTTCTTTAGCTTCCTCCTCTTCTTTTTCTTTTTCTTGTCTCTGTGAATTTCAAGCAAAGTCTTTGTGTTTTGTTGTTCCTCACCAGAGCTACCTTTCTGTGAAGTACTCTGTAAAGCCGAGGTCGATGCACTCGGTAATGGCAATGCTGGCATCACCCGCTTCCCAGCTTCACCTGTGCAATAAGAATTCTTGACAAAAGAATGACAGCAACTAAATCCCCACATGCCATCTCGCCAGTAACTTCCCCAAACACTGGTGTGATTACCAGGGTACATATCTTCCTCATATTTGGATCGCACAGTCTGCTTTTCGGCGCCTTTGATGATTTTGCCATGTCGGGAGTACTCAACATAATTCTCTGTTTGAGAAAGTAAAAGTTCAGCTGGTGGAGCATCAAGATGTTCTTTCCCACCATATTTTTCTAAAAGATCATCAGATACCTTTTTCTTGAACTCTTCCTTCTTATTTACAAATTGCTTTTTTAACAATTCAAGTTTTGTAGGTTCAGCTTGAAGACTGACATCTACACCTTTCTCAAATGCATCCCATGCAAAGAGCTGAGCTTTAGCTTGATTGACAGTATCTCCTGAAAATCTTACAAAATTCTCTCCAGCAAAGTCGACTTCATCCTCTTTTCTTCCAGTGCCCTTGTAAGGGTTGTCCCTCATAGAACGTGTCTTTGGATCATAATAGGCTGAATTGGGGTCCAGATTTCTTAAGTACTTGGCTGTATCTTCACGTATACGCAAGTTGCGGACAGTAATTCTCTGTTTGCTGTCTACTTTTGTACCTGGCATGTCAACACTTTCAGCATATTTGTCTTCATCTTCATCATCATCATCTGGTTCACCATCACTCATCTCTTCTCCTTCCTTCAGCTTTTTAGCCTTTATCTGTCTCTTATAGTCTTCAACTTTTTTATGCTCTTCAACAACAGCTGTATATTCGGAAGGATCAAACCCATTCCATCTATCTCTCTTTCCATCAAAATCTAGGTGAAGATCTGGTAGCAATACATCATCTGGAGCAATATCATGCGCATCATATTTAGCTCCAACTTTGCGGGGCCTTTCAACACACTCCTTCTTTTTGTGTCCCAAAGCACCACAATTTTCACAGGCACCCTTACGATAACGCGTAGCTGTTGTTCCTTTTTGCCCTCTGATGTAATATTCATTGAGGTGGTTAAACGACTGGAGTTTCTCTGGCTGTGGACGTTGGTGCTTAAGGGTTGGGCCTCCAGAGCCAAAATACCAAGGTGCTGTAGCTATATACTGAGGAATGTGAGGATTTATATCTTTACCTTCTTCATCAACAGCAGCTGGCACAGTGCCAGCTTTTCGAGCTTCTTCAAGTTCCTTGGCTTTCTTCCATTCTTCTCTGGTTTTCTTCTTCGGCTCATCACCCTCAGCTTCTTCATGCTTGGTCCGTAATATGGAGGACAGTGGCAGACTTGGCGTACTCATTGTTTCAGCATTCTGGAAAGATAATTTAATCAGATATAAAACTATTTAAATGTACAGGTCCTCCATCGCAAATCTGGCATCATTGGGACCTGTAGTGTGCCGGATTACTGAGTTTGCCGGATTACAGAGTGGTTAAGTTAGAATACACTTAATAAAATTAGCCAACTTGACTTACACAAAGTTCATTGAACATCGGCAAAAATCGAACATTTCCGCTACTTTGAGCTCAATTTCAAGGTACTTTCCTTCATGAAAGCAATCAAAATCATGTCTATTTCTGTAATACATCTTCCATTCTATCAAATGAGTCCAAAAAAATGAGAATACAACCATAAAAAACATACGAAAATATACTGCAAATAGGCAGCTAATGGCTGAAAAGTGAACTCCCTTATTCATCGTCCATCTTTTTTATTTTTGTTGTACATTAAGAAGCATCTTTCCATCATAAATTGCCCAAGTTTCAATGAGATAGCCCAACAAACAACCGAGAAAAAAATATTTACCAAAAATCATATATGGCAAGCCCAAGCCAGGTACTGGCAATAAGTCACTTTGTCTGACTTTTCTGGGTTATCCTAGGTTCTCTATACATACACTGCTATGTATGATAATCTATGTAACTGTATTTGTGTATACCTGAATAAACTTATTTACTTCTAGTCTGTCAACTGAGTATAAGAAACTGCCCATTCACTTATTTCAACTACCCAATACAATGGTCAGAAATTGGCAATTTGGCCGATTTCACACGAAAATGTTAGGATTATTTTACCGAGTGTTTTAAGCCTAAAATTTTTTTTTTTGCCATCAGTACTTACCGAGATACAGAGGCGCAAAGTTGGCAGAAAATGAGCGCCGTACGGCAACAGCGGCGAATGCCGCCCACCCGGTATTCTTTTATTTACTCCAATTCGAAGGTTTCTTGTATTTTCCAATATTTTTCTTTTCTAAGTAACTTATGTGGCTTGTGAGACCAAAGTAAGGTGCATTGTTCAAATATATACTCATTGTTTACAACACAATAACTGAACAAACATTATCACTATTAGATTGTGTATAAAACTTGTTTACACAAACAAACAATACAAAACATTGTTTATTACTATTGTTCCATAATATATATACATATGTACAGTCACTGAACACTTTCCTAGAACTGCTGCAGCTTGTGGAACTCTTTGAAACATGGGTATATGCAGAGTGGTACTTGACACTTCTCACACACATAAAACGAGTCTCTACGTGTTTGTGGGCATTTTGTGGTACGTCCATATACAAAACACCTCTTCTGAGCACTTTTCTTGAAAGCAGTAGAAGGCAGTTGTATGGGGCAGTGATCACCAGGTCTCAAACGAGATGGCGTGTGTTGGTAATTTCGTGGACACTGGTCTACTGCAGGTGTTGCTCCTTGGTACTTGGAGATTATTTGTCTGATGACTGACAAACAAAATTCACCATATTTTGGTTTGTTGTTGGTCTTCAACTTGTATATGTTACAAGCATTTAGCATGGAAATATCAAGATGGAAAAAAAAGCTTTATATACCACTTATAACTCTTGCATACACAATCAGCAAACCCAATCTGCATGTCACATTTGTCCACTAAGTGCATATTGAGGTTGTAGTCCATGACAGCTGCCAGTGTGTGCCATTTTGTTTCGGTGAACTGATGTCAACAATGTGACATCACGTTTGTCATGCCACCGAAATGCCATGATGTCACTGGCAGCAAAGGCCTGCACCTCACCTCTGCAAGTGCCAGCATTGAACCTTGGCATATGTTTACGATTACCACGCACTGTCCCACACACGTCTGCCAGGTTCACTCGCAAGAAATCACTAAGTATGGGGCTTGTGTACCAGTAATCACTATATAATATATGCCCCTTACCAAGATATGGTTCCATCACTGTTCGAACCACATCACCAGAGATACCCAATGTATTACTGCCAGCGTACGCAATGATATCCAAAACGAGACCACTTTTGCAATCTCACAGTACAAATAACTTTATACCAAAGCGTTTCCTCTTGCTTGGTATATATTGCTTGAATGAGTCTTCCTTTGCATAAAATCAAAGACTCGTCAATAACAAGCTTCCTGAAGGGATAAAAATACATGCAACACTTTTGTTTCAGGTACATAAACACATTTCTGATCTTATATAACCTGTCACTTCTGTCAGGCTTTCTTTTGTCTGAAAAGTGTAACATACGTAACAGTATCAAAAAACGATTCACACCTATAATGTCACTAAAACCTGGGGTTGAAATCAGGTGTTCTGTTGACCAGTATGTGGTGACAGTGTGCTTATACACATGTGGCATAAGCATTATTATGGCAAAAAACAGGTATATCTCTGCCACAGTTGTGCCCTTTCCCACTGGTGTAGCCGTGATCTTGGTGAGAGAATTGTATTTGCCATGGTGTACTCATAGTATGTGTTAGTTTCCCTGACAATAATGTCCATCAGGGGTTCATCAAAGAATAACTGAAAGCATTCCGTTCAGTAGCATTGTTCCCAAGTGAAACACATGGCCGTTTTCCCCACTTTGTGTTTCATCAAAGTCATGGGACGGGCAAAAAAAACTCGTCCCCTTGCTGCCAATCCCAGATGCGGTCTGCTGGTGGGTTCTGGATATTGAAATGTGGTTGTGGTTGTGCAGGTTGTGGGAGTGTGGGGTTGGGTGAGGCTGGTTGTAGTTGTGCAGAGTCAGCAGCGTTGATAGTAGCGTGGCCCACTGCTGGTACCACAGGACTCATGCCACCATCACTATCACCACCACCACCTGCTGCCTCACTCACATCATTCATACCCATCGTAACAATATCGTCATCTTTACTATCAGGTCGTAGTGTAGAGTCACGGGATGTGCTCTGAGATTTACTCCTTCCCCTTGGAACAGCATAGGACACACTACCAGACCACATGCTACTTTGTATATACTGCCGCTTCACTGGGGAATATTCACCCTCACTGTCACAACTAGAACTGCTTTCAATAGCTTTGAAATCACTATCACTATCACTTTCACTGCTCACATATGAGTCTTGTACACGGGCAAATAGTTTCCTCTTTCGTCCTGGTACAGGTGAATGTGAACGAACTGGCCCAGCACCAGAGGTGGAAGGTCGTGGGTCATCTGGGTTTTCATCACTAATTACATTATCCTGGGCACTGTTTTCGGTCACACCCGCTTGAAAACCATGGAATTCACTTTCACTGACATTTCCATCGCTGTTGGAGCTATTACTTGGGAACAAAAGACCTCCAATCTGCCGAGGAGTGAGGTACTTCTTACTGCGAGGCATGGTGAAAATGGACTACCAAGATGGCGTTCCCACAATGCATCACTGAGTCCCAGATTTTTTTCACAGGGTGCACACCCACCACTCAGACCCATTCTCTCTCATGTAGGCCTACCAGCTTTCTCCCGCTTCATTTGAAGCCACTAGAATTTACGCGTATAAATACGTCAGAAACAGTGGCGCGTAAGACGTATATATATGACCGAAACAGTCAAAGGGTTAACGAGGAAACGTTTTGCCACATAGTGGCTTTCAGTCCATACAAAGGAGAATGGTGAAGAACAGGAGGAGTCTAATTTATCAACTTGTCAGTTCTCTGAACCATTCATCTACATGTATATATGTATATATAATATGTATACAGTGGACCCCCAGCTTACGATATTATTTCATTCCAGAAGTATGTTCAGGTCCCATTACTGAACGAATTTGTTCCCATAAGGAATATTGTGAATTAGATTAGTCCATTTCAGACCCCCAAACATACACGTACAAACGCACTTACATAAATACACTTACATAATTGGTCGCATTGGGAGCTGATCGTAAAGCGGGGGTCCACTGTATATGGTATGCATATATGGTATGTACATATGGTATGTATGTATGTATGTCTTGCCGAATACATAAAATTGGTCAATTAGCAAGAACTCATTTAAAATTAAGTTCTTTATCTTCAAGAGTTTGAAATTACTTAATATACACACACATACATACGTACATACACACACACACACACACACACACACACACACACACACACACACACACACACAAACACACACACACAAACACACACACACACACACACACACACACACAAACACACACACACACACACACACACCAGGAGCTAGGACTCGACCCCTGCAACCACAAATAGGTGAGTACATGGAGGCGTCACGCGGTTTGAACTCGTGTTTTGGTGGTAATTTCTGACTGTGCCATAAGGAATAGAGTGTGAGATATAGGCATGTGCACGCATAAGAGTGCATATAATCACTTAAGCCCCGAAAAAGGAAATATAAGTGATCACAGAAAAGAAAACAAAGGAAATAGTGACTAAATGTTTAGTGGGGGCCGTTGGAAGGAAGGTGAACAGTTGTGTCAGGCCTAAATAGTGTTGCCATAATAACGCAGTGGGGTATTTTGAAGAATAAGTGCAACTCAAGACCAGGGAGATAAGAGATATGTATAGATGTGTCAGTAATACAGTGAGTGAGTGAAAAAATTAGATGAGCTAGAGACCACAGTGCCTACAGGAAGTTAGTGGAAAAATTACCGAGAAGCATCAAGCATTTTCATACTGGGACCCAGGAGGACGACATTACTCCACTGCCAGCCGCAAGTAATATTCACCTAGTTTGAGTTGCATGGGGTCAGCACCAGTCTCTAGCTGGAAATTGGGGGGTCACTCTCCTCGAGCTATCAGAATTAGAATAAGCAGCATTTACTGGCATTTAATAGAATTTATTGAGGTTCAGGAGAGTTAAGCAGTTAATGATAGATAGCCTAGTATGAGAGGTAGCCTAGCGAAGCCTAGCATACAGAATTGAACGTAATTTTAGGCACAAGATAGTACAGTGGGAACCAAGAGATTGGGTACATATGCAAAACATATGTAGTACATACGAGGGAAATAAGGACTGCTTACATAAACACACGCATACACACACACACACACACACACACGCACAC